CGGTTTAGACTGGAATAACCAGACGCTAAAGATCGTCATTCAATTGAGACTTTGGCGCATTTCGCCGAACATAACTGATTAGAAATTACGGTAAAAACAGAAACGATTGAATGTAAATCAGTTTATATACATTCACATTACCTTATTATATTCGTTGCGACCCATTTCTGTCAATTTCTAGGTCCCATAAATATTAGCGATTTAGCTCCTTTAACGTTTTTTATAGTTACTGCTGATGTATTAATGTTATAGTAAATCAATGTCCGAATATAGGTATTTCTTATTGCAACAAATTTCCCCCGTTTGATAAGCTAATCACAATTGACGTTTGGTGTGTGATTGATGCAATTTGAGAAAATTATTGATAAAACTGCTATTTACTCTCAAAAATGACCAAGTATGAAATACAATAAAATGAACACATTGCATGTATAAACTAGGATGATAATTAACAATTAATTTATTTCTTACAGGTTTTGGGGATATACGGTAACTCGAATGATTTAGTATTTTAGATAATATTATTCACGGGGATATTAACGCTCAGAAATTTGCTTCCTAAACATTTTTTTGTGTGGTTTTTATTTTCAAAATAATGGAATATTGAATGATTAAGTATTTTAGATAATATTTTTTCACGGGGATGCTTTAAAAAGCTCAAAATGAATATTACTCGAAACTAAACGATATAATAGTTGCACACGCGGCTATATCATTTACTTGTGATATTTCAAGAATATAATAAGTTACGTGTTTCGGGCTGAAAAGGGAGTTCAAATAGATAATGAAAATACATAAAGACAAAAAAACAATGACATGAGTAACGGAGCGTTCTAATCACCAATTTTTGAGGAGAAAAAAGAGTAAGGTTGGTATGCATATTTTTAAAAATAAACGACCGTGGAAGAAATATATACATTTTGTAATAAAAAACATGTAAAGGTATTATTCGTGCTGGTTGTCTGTCTTTTCACCATTACATGTGTACTGGAGCGTTCTAATCATCATTTTTGAGATAAAGGTGAGTAAGATTGGTATGCATAATTTAAAAAAACGACCGTAGGGGGGAATATATACATTTTATAATAAAACAACATGAAAAGATATTATTCGTGTTGATGTTAAAGTCTGTGATGGGGTGTTGGGTGTGTGCGCATGTGAGGGGCGGGACCGGGGGGGGGGGGCAAATTTAAATGACATCTGCTAGTTTTCAAAGGTTCCACAATTTGAAAATTTGTTTTGCCTAAAAATATTTTGGCAAGAAGTATAAAATATTCCCCAAAATAAAAAAAAATAAAGTATGAATTCTTTCTTTAAAACAATAAATGTCCAAATAAATAAATGATTTCGACAATTGCAAACGAGAATTTCTAAATTCGCCATTTCGTAAAACAGGGTTAGTTTATGGGGCCACCGTCTCATTTTAATCGAAGTGAACCCTGATGCAATTTACGATAGGTTATAAGATGTAGCTCTCACTAATCCAGTGATTGTTCTAAGGACATCAAGATTTACGTTTTCAAGGTACAGGACCTTGGTTTTTGTAGTACACTCATTTCGGAGTACGTACACGTAGTCGAATAATAGGCGACATTAAAGCCCAGTATATTGATTCTAGATATTTTAAACTTCTGACACAAATCAGTCCTTTTATAACGGAATAATTAGTATGAACAGCCCCATTACAATTACTAATTCTTAAGTTCTTTGCTATCAGTTAACCCAGCTCCAGCACAGCAAAGAGTGTTAAGAGTGCGGTTTAATTTTCTTGAGAAGGTAATAGTCCTTGTTTTGTGTGGATTAAAGTTGATTTTTCAACTTTTTGATTTTTTTTTTTGGCGGGGGGGGGGGGGTAATGTAATTGCAGTATGTAAAAATGCGTTCAAGAGATTTCAATATTCGAAGAACAAAAACTACCCAGTGAAGATTCTTTTATTTTGATTTTGAATGAAAAGCCGTTATACTCTTCAAAAAAGTAGGGGATATTGCAATGAAAATACCTATGCAGTTGTGATATGATAAATAGTCATGGACATGCTCTAAGAGTATGTTCACAGATGAAGAACTTATCACCCCAACAGAACCACGGGGGGAGGGGTTCATTGTCAAATTTGACACTTGAAGGATGGGTTGATGAAAACTCTCGCCTGCTGGCTTATCCTATCCATGTTTGCTTTCCTATCGATTCTTGCATAAGATTTCCTATTTATGGTATCTTTACTTTAGTGTTCTACGTTTAATTTGATCGGAAGACGTGTTCGTCGGCGTCAACGTCAACCAACAACACGGCAAGAATTGGCCGTGGCACTGCAAGATGAGTGGGTCAGATTTCCCCAAATCGTGATTGGACGGTTCATTAGGAGCATGCCACGACGAATTGCTGAATGTCTGAGGATTGTTGGAGCAATTACTCGTTATTAAGACAAATATCAAAAATGTAAGGTTTCTCTAATTGGCACCTGTGACGATTAGTGTTGGCTGCGCGAGTAACGTGAAAGGTAGCACGCTGTGATTGTCTAAATCTCCCAGCGTTAGTGAGCGTTTGGCGCGTACCTTTATCAAGTTGATAAAGATTCTAAGATAAAAACCCACGGAAAAAGACTTGGGAATGTAAAATTCGAGAATTTATTGGGCTTCGATATTTATGATAAATAATCAGTGATTAAAGACAACATCGTCTTGTATGTGCAATGCATTCTCGGTAATCTAGGGTTACCGCTTATTTTATTGCTCAAATTGAATATGCGGCAGTTTTCCGTTTCATCTCTCTATTTCACCATTTATTTATTGATAATGGTTTAGTATATTTAGATTTAACTTGTGTTGAGTAAATGGTCTTTGCTTTTAATCTGATTCCGTCTTTTTATACATAAAAATTGAGATATATGTATATGTTAAATTTAACGTTAAATTTTGGTTGATATTGCCAGAAAACATTTATAATTCATGGTTGATTGCATCCATTGAGAAGTGTATGTTCACTTTGCCGTTACAACCATTCACAAGGGGGTCAGTCACGCGTGCCATATCGTCTGCTACGCGGTCCTTTATCAAGGAGCCTCTATGTGGTTAAGTCGCCGGTTCGCTAGCCTGCAGGTCGCACGTTTAATCCCTGCATTGGCCGAATAACTTCGTCGCGATTGTCTGGCCTCGCCCTCGTCCGGCTACGACGAAAAACTGAGGCCCGTGTATATATTGGCGTACAAACCCTCCTTTCCTAAACCTATCACATCCAGGGGGGGGGGGGGGGTTCCTCGCAAGTAAAATTATCTCAGGTGTGTGTGTGTGTGGGGGGGGGGGGGGGCTGGTAACTGAGTGGAAGGGGGAGGGGGGTAACCAACCCCGGATAAACAATCGCAATCCAATCAATGGTCGATCTTAACATTAGCCCTTAACGCTAGACCACGCACGACCTGACCTCAGCACGAACCCCGACGCGGCTGTCTATAAAGGGGCAACCCCACGCCCCCCTCACCCCCCCCCCCCCCCCAATAATCAATGCGTGACCTCCAGCTAACCTCGTAACAGAAGTCAAACGAGGTCAAAGGATAAACAAGAGTTCATTATAACAATACCTATTCATCTATATTCATATCCCCATTGTTCGGATAACAATACCCTATTCAATCTATTGAATAGAACAAAGGCGTCAACTCTCCTTGGTAAAAATATGGCCAGAAGGCCACAGATTATAACTGACGACCCTACTCCTTGTCACGTAAAACCTGGAAGTCGAATCTACGCCAGTTGACTCAATGTCAGACCTTGTGACACAACGCGCACGCTCTAACCGACCTTCCCGGTGTTAAATGAGCTAAACCTGTAACTCAATAGTTATTATCCATAATTTTTGAAATGTAAAGCATGAATTAGAATTCAATATTGGGCCATTTCAATCAATATTGATGTTGTTATCCTGAAGTAAAAATATGGGATAAATATATCCAATAGCAAAGACACAATGGGCATATTATAATCAGTACACGAGTCGCGTGTTCTTTATTTTCGGATGCCAATTGTAATGAACAAGGAAAACATATCCTATAAGACAATGCTAAAGCAATTGGCAATGGCTCATTCACAAACTGCAAAACAATAATTAAAAAAGCTTATAGAATAAACTAAGCAGGTGTAGGCCTAAACGACTTTCATTCAATTTGGACTGTATACGTATTTCACCGAACATAATTAGAAATTACAATAACGATTTTAAAAATTGAATATAAGTCACTTAATTTGCGATCATATTACATTAATATGTGATATTAGACCCATATATTTCGCCTATCTTAAAGGACAATATTGGTGTCAGCCATTATAAAATATGTGATAGAACTAGTTAAATACATCCCAAATATAATTTTAACACAGAGATCATTGCTACGGGAGATGTGTAACAAGCACGTGAAGAAACGGGAAGTGACGCCAAACATGACAAACACAGTTGTCCTTCTATATAACTTATTGAATTAACGAGCGATAACAGACACGCGATCGAATTTCATTTCACTGATAATTCCGTTGAAGATGAAAAGTTATTATATGAGACGATGAGAGGATATCTGACAATAACAAGACTATATATATTGCTTGAACATGAAACATAGATAAGAATGTTAAAAACTGTTTTAATGTAACATGAAATAAATTGTAGTTAACTAATTCATTCAACACACTTCGGTATAATGAAATGAAATGCCCGTTTAGTTACCCAAACTGGGATACTGAAGGTGGGTAAAGGTCATGCAGTTGGCTTTGAGAGTAATTTTGACAGGATAGCTGCGTTTCCTCCGACGCTTAATCGATTCCAACTGCCGTGGGTTCTTTTACGTGCACGTCAACGCCATCCCCCATCCCCGAATGACTAGACGTGTGTATTAGAAAATTAGAGGATGTTTGATTGAGTGAATAAGACACTAGCGGTTTTCAGATTTAGAATCCAATCGGTTTGTTTCCTAAAGAACCTCAAATCTGAATATATATAGATTTTACAAACCCTGGATTCTTTTAAATAATGAATTGAAATCACTCTCTGGCAAATCTTCATACATTACATGAATCTCTTTGTTTTTTCCACACTTTGATCGAATAACACCTGAAATTGACATGTACATAGATGTATTATAATACACAGTGTGAAGACAAAGATATCGGTATTACTTCATTAACACATTCAGTAGAGGTTGCCTTAATATTTAGATCTAACCTTCAGTAGAGGGGGATCACGTGGCTAAGTGGGTAAGACGCTGGCTTGCTAGCCTGGAGGTCCGGTGTTCGATCCCTGCATTGGCCGAGAAAGTTCATCATGATTTTCTCCCTTGTCAATAATGCAGGACGGAGTGCCTAACAAGGACAGCCGTCTAGTCATTCAGATGATACGAAAAACCGAGGTCTCGTGTATACATTAGAACGCACGTAAAAGATCCCTTGGCAGTTGGAATTCGATATAAGAGTAGGCGATAGTGCAGCTGCCCGGGCAAAATTTCCCTCATTGCACACTGTATGGCGTATGCCCGTCTTCATTAGCCCAGCATAGGAGCAGAACAGTAGGACGTTAAACCCCATTTCATTTCATTTCACTTCAGTAGAGACGGCTTGATCTTAACGATTCAGATTGTGTTTAGCGTTCGTCACATTGATAAGTTACATTTGTAAAGCCAACGTGTATTTATGGTATTTGTATTTAATTGCGATTTAGAATCAAAAGTAGTTTATTTTGCTGCCATAGAGAGGAACGATTACTCGGTTACCAGATGTCTCAGTAACTAGCTTCGATCCAGATGTTTTCAACATGTCTTCCCCTTGTCATTGATGAATGATGAAAGGTCTGTCATAGAAAAGCGTCTAGTCGTTAGGATGGGATGGAAAACCCATTTCATTTTACAACAATATACTTACTAATTATGTCAGTCATTAGTTCCATTGAAATCGAGCCATCCGCGGCACCATATTCGGCTACAGTAAATGGTTCATTTTCTGGATGAGTTTTGGTAACCAGATTTTCTGAAATATTTTGTAGAATGGAAGTATTAGCAAAACTTTATAGATTAATAATAAAAGTAAAACACATATTGATAGCTACGTGAACAATTGAACACGTAATCTGCCTCGTACATGACGTAGATTTCAGTAGTTGTTGCCATTTGTCTGTTAAGATAGCTTATATACAAATCATCGCACTAGTTGTTAAGGATGCAATATGTGAAAGCGAAATCTACATATTTCAGGTCTTTATTTTGGCTTTAAATGTCATATCGACTATTATGCAATGATTTATTTACATGACAATTGACATAAACGGGTGACCGAGCCGCGAAAATTAAACGTTTAACGATAAAATGAGCAATTGCGACTTAGTCTCAAAACCAAGTACCATTGCTACGATAATGAACGGTCTACACTAGATCTTGTTAAACCTTATAACGCAAATAAATTAATTTGAATGGAATTTTCTGTATATTCAATTTTCATGATCTATTTTTGAACTATTATAAATGCTAGCTTTTTATTTCAGGGGTATGGGTTTTTCGATATTATCGCCTTCAAATAAACATTTGATATTCATGATATTGTGCTCTCTGAGAATTATTAGCCCACTTTGATTTTAAAAACAATCGCTAACTAACCAACTATTTTGAGTATCTTGTCTTTAGAGTTATCACAAAACGCTTTGTTTCTTCTCTGAACGTCGCCGTATGATGTCCCCTGTCCACCTGGATTCATCACATTGTAGGACGACCATCTGGACATCAATTTCAAGGGAGTCCCCAATCTACGTAAAAAAGTTAATCCAATTAAATCTTCTACGTGTACATGCATTCTTGGACTAAGTGCGTGGATCGGTTCAAATATAGATGTCGTACCCTGTCCAAATCAACTGTAGGTGTCGTAATACAAAAACATAATATGGAACACAATTACTATTTTAATTAAAGCGACGTTTCATTGAGGGTTCTCTCAACGTTTTCAAGCAAATGATGCTGAAAATAATGTACAGAAGGTTTATATACAAAAACAAGTAACAACTAATTAATCATATTCAATAGGGAAACCATTTAATATATTAAGATTATGATTAAAAACTAATTAAAACTGAGTAAGACGTTGACTCGCTAACCTGAAGGTCCCGTGATCGATCCCTGCGTTCATCGGGATTTTCCGGAGTGCCCCCCCCCCACCGCCTTGTCAGTGGTGCAGCAAAGAGGGTCTGGCAAGGGACAACCTATAGTCATTCGAATTGGACTAAAAACCGAGGTCCCGTGCATTTAAGAGATCATTCACAAAAATTAGTCTTAGGTTACTAGGTTAAAAATGCCCTGTGTGTACCATACTTCATTTTGACAGTTTTCAATACCGTCATGTAACATTGCTTTTTTATTTAAACAATATTTTTATTCATTAAATCTGAATTTGGATTGGGGAACAGGCTATGCCTATGTGTAACCCCTCTCTCTGAGTTAGATACATGTACACATTATAAATATTTACATACATAATTACATAAATATAGAGCATATATGATACATCATGGATAATATAGAGACTTAGATGATTATACAGAGTGCAGGGCTTGGAATGACTTAAGAGTTGTTTATGGAGATTTAAATCTTTTTGATAAGAAAATTAATTGTTGGACTTCTTGGAAAATAAGTGTGTTTATCTCTGGACTAAGTTTTGTTGACCCATACAACAGATAACTGACTGTTTTATGTTTATGTTGAAGGTTATGGATTGTCCGTTTTCTTGCATCTGAATATAAGTGGCATACGAGTAAATAGTGTTCGGTATCTTCGAATTTGTGACCACAGAGGCAAGCAGGGTTATCACCGACATGTCTGAGGAATTTATGGCCTTGTAGGTTCGAGCAGCATAATCTTAGTTTACAGTGGATTATTTGTAATTTTCTTATCCCTGTATAGTAATATGATGGCACGGTGGTATCTAATTTATTTAGTGAATTTCCAAAGATAGCAGGGGATCGGGGGTTTCTAATTTCAACGTTAAGTTTGTTCAATTCTCGTATACTGGAAGGGATGAAGGACCCGGAGAAAATTTCGGTTCTGCATCTGGTTTCCTTTAGTTTATCTTTGTAACATTGCTTAACCTTGAACCCTCTCCGATACATAAGTGGAATGAGAGATAAGCATACCCGGACATTAAAATCATAAATTTCATAGTGCTACATTCTATTCATAATTATTTACCTGAACAAACCGACACATCTACATACCGACATCATCATCATTTCTTAACTGAACACCAGAAATCTATTCTTCTGAAATATAAAAGATAGTAGATCCCGAATTATTTTTAAGTCCCTATTATATTAACATACAAAGACGCCTGTTGATTTCAGGTCCATTTGGTACTCTCAATGTTGTTGTTGTTTATTGCAAATTTAACGTCCAATACATAATATTATGGACATGTTGATTCAATTAAGATTATTTACATATGAAGGAGTAATAAAAAAAAGGGTAAAGGAGTAAAAACATAAAAAAAAGTTCTTGTATATAAAAAAAAGTCACAGCGGAAATCACGGTGTTAAAATTCACCGATGAGGATCAAAATGTAGATATGTATAAGATATACTTTTGAAATTTATACGTTTTAGTAATTGTGTGTATAATTTATGTATAATTTATATAAGCTTCTGCTTGTTTTCAAATCTGTCGTACTGGAAATAAAATATTGTTTAAAGCTAACTTCGTTGTCGTGCGAAGAGAGGGTTGGCCATCTTCTTCCTTCGTCACAATCTGTTAATAGTTGTCAAAACTTGTCTTATAGGAGTATATGTCCGGGTATGCTTGTTGTCACACATTTTTCTCCATTCTGCACACCTCGACAGCCCCAAGTACACTATTTGAGCGTCTTACTTTTAAAGTGACAATTTCATATTTTTAAGTTATATTTTTAAAATGTATTAAAATAAAGCCCTAAAATAGATGGTATCTATAAACAGTCCTACCTTGTTAAAGAATAATACTATTAATCCTATAATTCACTATTGCCAGTTGAGAAATTGGCAAAAATATCATTTTCAACTTCAAATACAAACGTTTGAAGATAGCTATTCCACGGTGGGGAATAGGAAAACAAGGGAGGTAATTGGGAAGTAATTTTATTATTTCCGGTGTGAAGATTTTTAAGTGTGAGAAAGATAACCTATGATCATATAATAGTGAGTTGACAACCTATTGAGCAAAAGACATAGAAATAATTATGTTTTGACTTTCTTAGAAAATATGAAATTGTAACTTTAGCAACGCAATATAGCTTTCCATTAGAAAACATTTATTTATCTAATAGAGGATTTATCGCAAAATATTACATTTCCCACGGCTTAATCCACTGCATTAAATATATACCCAGATTTATCATTTAACATTTGAGAGAACACAATCAAATGTTCAAACTTTAGTAGTATGTGCATTATCTCCCGGTTTCGATTCCATAGGATTAAAAACAGACCCGCCAATTACATTTCGCGAATCAATCACGACGTCATCCGACAATAAAAAAGGCTTGTAAATAAAATCGCCAAACTTCAATGTTTTAAGTATTAATATATAACATTAACATCCTATACTGTCTAATAAAGATAGCTAAATAAGTTATTTTTCCCTATTAAACTAAAGTCAGAAACAATTCCCGTCATCCAAAACCTGGGCAAAACAAAACCCCTTAGTTATGATTCTTATAACATAAAAGCTGGTAATGACACATAGTAATATACCCCCTTAACGACCCTAGAAAATTAAATTCTGAAATAAAATTGCCTAAACTATGCATGTTATTCATTTAAAATATACATTATGTAAGATTTAGATAAAGAGCTGACCGTTCTTGCTATAATAATTTGAAAATAGATAATGAAAAAGGAATATATTAAAAATTTCAAATTAGTTTATTCTATGCCAAGTTATAGGCGTTTGACGTTTTGACAAAAAGTAGCATGACCGCAGTGTTCAAATCTACTTAAAATCGGAGCAATACAATGGCCCAGGGAGTTGATTATGGGCTTGCTATTTAACGAGTGTTTAAATAATCCGTCTTCATTAGCCCAGTTTAGGAGCAGAACAGTAGGACGTGTAACCCCATTTCATTTCGTTTCGTTTAAATAATAATTTATATAACACGCCAGAAGAAAGACATGCGATAGGCAGTTTAGCTTTTACATAATGCATCTTCAAAGAAAAGTTTACAGACAATTTAAAAAAAAATATATCATCCATAAGTTATTCGTGCCTTGCAAATGTTCCCATTGTCGATTAAAGAATTATGGGCGTAAGCTTCGTTGTCTGAAATCCTTCTGGAGATAAACCGCATATTTGTAAAACGAGTCCTTGACGTCATAATATATACCACAATACTAACGCCTTGCGAAGTTGAATAGTTATTTTTAAAAAAAAAACCAGGTCAATGGACAGATGCGTTCGTAAAAGTACAATAATAAAATCTAATGTTAGATTTTTTACCTGGGCGCAGGAGGCTTTATTTCTTTTTTAAAACAGGTCAATGAACAGAGGTGCTCGTAAAAGTAGTGTTAGATGTTTTACCTGGGTACACTTCCACCAATGCTCCAAAGGTTTTTTTTCTATTTTTTTAGGGGGATCAATTATTCACATTACAATTGACCCTTTCGCCGAAGCCTAAATATTCTAAAATCATTGCTGTACTGTTATTTCCCCCATGGAACATAAATCGTTGGCAAAAATTCGTTTCTTAGGAACGCTGTCGACTGTACCTTCCAAAGTCTCCAAGTGCAAGGCTAATTCGGTAACATGATCAACCTCCGCTGTTATTTTTGTTTGGCAATATAAATTAAACATTCAGAGCATTTTTTTTTGAAGAACGTGGATACTGATACAATAAGGATCAAATGTGAAATCCAACTGATCTTTACTGTAGTATTACTGGGTCGTCAGTTATTAAATTAGGATTTCGTCTTTGACTGCTAACCTTGTGCATTTCCCCGTGACCCCCCCCCCCCCCAAAAAAAAAAGGACTGCTGCAGTTAAACAATGGGACATTATTCTTCGGATCCGGGTATTTGAGTGAAATATTGTAATAAAGCACCCCTCCCCTCCCATCACATACAAAAATAAACAAATCCTCCCCCCCCCCCCGAAAAAAAACAAAACAAAAAATCCAAACAATCAGAATTTACTTACCTTCGTCGTGTAAGGTGAGGGTGGCCACGATTGACAAAAACGCGCGCTACTGTGTTGAGATGACTACCAAAACAATGTAGGCTATGTATATATATATTCGAGGTCATGGTCATTGGTTACGATGTCATCGCTGGGAGGTAGTTTTATTTCATTTGTTAGTTATTATCGAAATATATATAGATAACAATTACTTTCTTCATCCTAATGTTTATGAATTTCAGGTGCACACTTTCGGGGAACCTCGAAAGTTGGAAAAAATGCCCACAATTTAAACTTCAGGTTCCTGCGCTACCTCTAACCCTGGTATCAAATTCGAGTTGTTAAGGATTCTTTTACGTGCACACTAATGTGTACACGGGACCTAGGTTTTCTGTCCCATCCGAACGACCATATGTTGTCCCTGGAACCACGCCGGAGAATCCAGATGAACTTTGTTGCCAACACCGGGATCGAACAAAGGACCTACAGGTTAGCGAGCCATCATCTCTTACTCACCGAGCTATTGTGGCTCCCGATTTGTAGAAAGTACGTGTTTCCTTTTAAAGCCCATGTCGAAATTTAGAGAGAGAGAGAGAGGGAGAGAGAGAGAGAGAGAGAGAGAGAGAGTTTAACGTCCACTCGACACAAAATAGGTCATTTCGGGACTAACATATGATTTAATTTTATTTCAATAATTCGCTTGCGCGTAGGGGTCTTTAGCAGTGGGAGGAAACCGGAGGACCCAGAGAAAACCCACGAGGTTGGACAGGCGACCCTACTCTGTCGAAATTATACTTCGGATTAACCGTAACACCACTGTAACCATGATTGGTCATACAAGGGGGCGGTGCCACGCCCCGTTTTTTGTCTGTAAATTCTCTACAGGTCGCAAGTATTAACAGGTTTTGTTCGAATCATTTCAATAACAGGATTATACCAATTTATCAACGGCGGAGCTATGCCCAGTTTTTTTTTTAGCTTAAAGTCTTGGGGCAACACCGAAAAATCCTAAGATGAGTCACACCAAGATCAATTGAAAATAGATGAGTCAAAAGATATGATGACCAGGAGAAAGGTCTGTGACAAAGTATCTGAATTTACTGACCCCCAGCTGGTTTTGATACCCCATAATGATCTATGTACAACCTGGTGGCCAGCTAATCTAAACAACTCCAAATATGATAACGACTTTGTGTTGTAAGGGGCAAAATGGTTGTAATATAGGAGCTTTTCCGCGTGACGTACTTCCGGTGTATATTTTCAGCCTGGCCTTTTTCGTCACGTATGTTAACATGGTAAATTCTAAGGAAAACTGGGTTTTTAGTCTTTTTCTTTTAATAGAAAACGCATTCTTGAATGCCACTCTTGTTGTAAGACGCGTGTAGCATTCGTAATAAATTACCGATTTTAAATCATGCCTAATTATTTTTTTTCGTTTTATTGACGATATACTGAGTTGTAGCACACGATCCAGTTGACCGCTGTAGGCAAAAGCATAAACAAAGATGCATTGCTGCATGAAGCCGATTTATATGTTTTGTGTTAATTTTACTGCAAACAATTAATAGATAACATCTGTTTGGTTGTAAACTGCCACGAAATAGAGTACAAGAGTACATAATACAATAGGTTAGAGTGGTGACCTGTGGGTTTTTAGTCTTTTTCTTTTAATAGAAAACGCATTCTTGAATGCCACTCTTGTTGTAAGACGCGTGTAGCATTCGTAATAAATTACCGATTTTAAATCATGTCTAAATTATTTTTTTTCGTTTTATTGACGATATACTGAGTTGTAGCAGACGATATATTCCAAGCTCGCACACGATCCAGTTGACCGCTGTAGGCAAAAGCATAAACAAAGATGCATTGCTGCATGAAGCCGATTTATATGTTTTGTGTTAATTTTACTGCAAACAATTAATAGATAACATCTGTTTGGTTGTAAACTGCCACGAAATAGAGTACAAGAGTACATAATACAATAGGTTAGAGTGGTGACCTGTGGTTCTACGAAAGAATTATTCAAGACGATATTAAAATTTAAGCACGACCGTAGCACATCTAAAAAAAGAACAAATAGTAATCACGCTGTAAAAAATAATTCTGTATAGAATGCACCGAGTCTAGTTATATATTTGCATTCAACAGTTGCTCTCTGGACCAAATACTGAATTAGAAATTGATAAAAAAGTTGCGACAGTAGAGATAAACTGACTACGATTTATGTGGTTACATAAGGAAAAGGGTTTTAGAAAAATTCACAGATTCAACTTGATCATCGTTTTATTCTTTCTGTTATTCATATTCCATCAAATGGAAATTTTATAAATTTTATAAATAAATTTATAAATGTTACCATTGGTTAGAGCCGTCTAA